CACCACCACCACCACCACCACCATCATCATCATCATCATCATCATCATCATCATCATCATCATCATCATCTGTATCATGGAAGGCTTGGATCAAATGACTGCATTCAGAAAGATTGCTGCTAAAGTTTATATTTATGCTTACAAGCCGAACCATATTGAATCGGACCGATAATGTGATAATACTCGTTTTCAGCCAACTCATCCATTGCTATCGTCCTCTTTACTATTAGAAATAACTGATACTTAGATTTGGAAATGCCTTTTCTATTAACCGAAGAAAGTAAATGTACGCCTTAGTACTGTCCCCTGACAAATGGATAAAGATGTTAGAAGAGAAGAATTGCTTAAAATACAGTATATCGTCGAACATTTTAGCATGAATAGGCTTGGTGCATATCTGACTGAATAGCCCACAAGGCCAACCATATAACCCCGATCCGACCCAACTCCACAACAAAGAAGTTTCGTATGGCCATCTCTCATCTACGGACGCTGCAAACAGAAGCAGTTGGGGCGTTTACTGGGAGAGTTCAATGTGATGACTTTCAACGATTGCATTTTTTCCACACTCAATACTCCGTCCAGGATCTATAGTGGAATCTTATGTCCTGACGACTGCTTTCAGCCTGCTTTCCAGGCAGATGGCCATATGCTGTCCGGACTCAAGACCAAACCATTGAGCGGAATTGCTTGTCTCAACATCCATCGGCAACAGCGACTGCAGTGATGAGGAACAGGCTGTCTGCTGATGAGGCCGACCTGGAGATGGTGACAGTGACCATTGGCAGACGTTCGTAGGGCTGCTAAGGGGAGCAGTGATGTCGATTGTTTGGCCGATCCAGCGACAAGACTCGCCGGTCTCCGAGGGAGACAGGCCGGCTCGATTACAAGAGGCTGAAATGAAGTGATGACCGCCCTCACCAAGCCAGGTCATGCCAGATGGGCTTTTGCAGGCCTCACCTCCAGGCCTGTCTAGGCGACTAGAGTCTGGAAACGAGGAGACGGCCTCTCCGGATGGTGACGGAGAACTGGGACTCGGCCAGTTGGGACCGTGCATTTGGATCCCTGGCAGACATTCAAAAGAGCCCGGAAAGTTGCCAGGGCGACTGGTAGTTGTTAGGGCGCACTGAGGCTGAGGTGGCAGTTCGTGGCGAGCCCCAGGATAGGTAAGAGACTCACGTTCGCTTCGATACGCCTGGGATGAAGTCGAATTGAGACTGGGGACCGGATATCTGCTGGGAGAGTTGGGGAGAGCTGATGGGAGCAAGTGAAGATGATAGGCGTCGAGGTTGCAGAGGGAGTTGTCCGCGAGGCAGGCCTTCAAATCAGAGGAAGGACAGCTATCGGTGGATGGATGAAGCGAGTTTAAGTGTATCAATGTCTAAGAGAGACGGGCGAGGCAAAAGGATGAATACGAAATAGAATTGAGGGCAAGAAGGCACTGGATGTAAGCATTAATAAAAAAATAAAATTATATACATATATATATATATGAACGTAGAAAGTAGAGTAAATGAAACTAAGAGACTAAACATATTATTTACTGATAGTCTTGACATAAGTAATATCGTCGATTACTATAGCAAATATAAGTTTGCTTCATTGACAATCCCACCACGGAATGTGAATTGGGAAAATGCCTGGCCTTCCTTGAAACGCATATCTGCCGTGTGATCTAAGAGCACTCGTGTCAATGTGGTGTAGCAGTTAACATGTCGAGATTATACGCCAAAATGCCATGATTCGACTCCCACTGGAGGTGTTGATAAGACCTACACGGTGACGAAACTACAGTCCACCCTGAATGGGAATACTTTATGAGAAGGCAAGGCTATGTGAAATTCATTTAAAACGTAAGATATACTCATACAATTGTGGGAACCAGTATTCCATCACATTAAACAAAATAAGGTGAACACATCTCATAGACAAGAGTAATGAAGACCCAATGACTTCAAGGGTATGAGGGCGGAGATGGCAGGAAAGGGAAAGATATGGGATATATGAATATAGCAGGACAGAAGGAGAAGTATCTTAGGGAATTGACTTATCTTGTCTCTTTGATTAGGTGTAATTTGCTATGGAGACTTTTCATTTCGTATGAAAATGCCGGATGAACAACTTCGTTGGTCGGTCTTACAGGGAGGTGACGGCTGATTCCCGTTCTTCTACAGACGTTCGGCTGTAATACAAAGTTCAGAGTAAAGCAATCTGTGAGGCATCCTGCCACAGTTCGGGTTAAAATTGGATGAGTCTTCGACCGTCATATTACGGACATCGTTAGAGCTGGAACTCATTTTTGCAAAACATTTATGTTAACACATGTAAGAAGACCTTTCAGCTCTGTCCTACATGCAATATGTATTCAACCAAAAACGAAAATATGCAGGTATACACAGATATATAATGGATTTGTTTGTTCTCCTTCAAGTTATTAAAGTCTGGTGCTAAGATAGGAAAAACATACTGACGATGCCGATGAAAAAACGTCTGTGGATCTACCAAGTTTACGTTACGACGTTAGAAATTGGCATGACCATTATGGCAGAGGGCGCCCTGATAAAACGGTCAATTTGCGAAAGCGATGCTAAACCACTTATATTGTCACGTCTGAATGGATGACACACTAAATTAAAAATGACTAAAGAAATATGAAATATTTAATTATAAGCTAAAGCTAGACTAATTAAATGAAATGTTAAGCAGCCATTCCGACTGGTCTTTTGCATTTGGATGAAAACCGATTCTGCCGACAAGGAATTAAAGAGAATTCTTGATTTTTGTGGAAGGAGAAATATTAAAAGACATTATGATGCTTATAAATTTAATTCTCCGAATTTTTACTTCTGAGTTTTTAAAAAACATGAGACCAAGATGTGAAAGGCCTTTTATGATTCAAACAGCTCCAATGTAAACTCAACAGTCATTCAGATATTTGATAGCTACTACTTCATACCTAATTTATTTAGTTAAAGAGGATCGTAACAAGACGCACAGCCAAGATTACGCAACTGTCACGAATTGAGTTCCTTTTATATAATTATGATCCAGTCCAGGCGTTCACATTTGTAATTTTTGATCCATGTAAGGTACCAATCAGGAGTTAACTTTTGCGTGACAGTCTGAAACACTCTTTCTGATTTTGATGTCTGCTATTAGCGCAACATTCAACAGGTAATGCATGAGCTAATCGTAAGAATTAGGCTTAGAAAATGCAGAATTACTTGTTCGGTTTGTAGTCTTAAGAGTAGAGCTTAGATAGTTAATTAAGTTGAAGTATAATTGACTAAGATCAAACTTATAAGCACATCTTCTGTACATATAATTTCATACAAAACACTATCTAAACTGACTGCGTGTTTCTATCTGTGAAGTTATTAGTGACACATTTCATTGAATCAAAAGGATAATTCATCTTGATTACAACGAGCATAGATAGGCGTTAAATGAATTTTGTTTTAGTATTTTATATTTGCCAAATTAATTTTTGGTGTGTATATCCATGGTAGGTTGGGACGAACCGATTAGCTAA